TCTGGAAGGAGGCCACGCTCTACAGTTCTGGTTGGAATGCTCCTGCACCCCAGGAATGGCAGGCAGCTCTGAGAGCTTCAGAGACAGGCCCCTGGTGAGGACATGGGTGATCTCACCAGGGACATCATCATGATGGCTGACAGGACAGTCAACAGCTTCCTGGGCTGTGCCAAAGGAGCCAGAGCCTTCAGAGACAATTCCCTTGGCAAAGTCATTGGCATTATCACCGAGAACATATTGGCCAGTTCCAGGGCCATGCATGTTGACTAGAAAGGGAGCCAGAAAGAAAAAGAAAGAACCCAAATTCTGGAATGCCAACTTGGAATCAATCACTCAGAAATAATTGGTATCATCTTTGAGGGATGTTAAGATCCTGTCGGCAAGAAGATGGTTTAAGGCTGTCATTTGTATTCCAACCTGGCAAACTTTATGCCAGCCCTGTTGTCTTTGAAAAGACATGTCTATTCCCAGTTCTATTACTAATTGCATATGGCTTTTGTTAAACTGCCTTAGATACTTGAGTTCTGTTTTTTAGTTAGCCCCAGGTGATCTACATCCACTTGTTCTGGAGCCTGAAGGGACAGGGACTAGATTGCCTTCAGTGAAGAAAAAGGAACTGTAGGGGTCTGTTGCCCCTGGAAACATAATTCAAAAGACAACATACAATAAAACAGAATAGGACATATGAGTAAGAAACCTATGCAAATGGAGGATAAAGGTAGTAACATTGTAGGGAACTATCTCAGCTGGATTCTTCCGGACACAGACTCTGTGACAAGGATTTGAACATGAGTAGTGTATTTGGAAGTCACAAGCAAAAACTGTAGAGAAGTAGGAAAGTGATACAGAGAGGATAAAGCAGCGAATAAAATGTGCATATTAAACCAACTGAAACAATGGGCAGCTAGAGATGAATCCCACTGGAAAACTCTAAGAAACTGCAAATTACATGCCTCAGCCTACTCTATTAATGAAAAACCTGGCATATGTACACATTCACTCCTGTCTGCCATTGGCTGAGGGTGATCCCAGAGAGCTGTTAATTCCCCAGTGCTGGGAGAGCAGGCAGAGAAGCTTTCGGGAAAAAGTTCTTGTAGGAAAAGTTCTCCAGTGCAGAGAAGTAGATATCATCCAGAATGCAATGAAATGCTAGGGCCCCAGATACGTGAGCAGGGCACTAAGAGAGGCTGTCAAGTCTAGCCTCAGATCTACTTGTGGCACTTGTTTTTTAAGGCAAGGTCACCAGGTTCCCAGACCTCTGTATTCTACCTATGAGAAAAATGTATAATAGTCATTGATTTAAAATATTCACTGCATCTTGAAGGATGATATCTCATCCTTTCTGGGTATCATCTCCAAGTCAACAAGTAATCTGCACCTTTAAGAAACCATGCCAACATTCTATTAGGCCAGCCACTTCTGAATGATGTGTAATACACATCTGCACCAGTGGAGGGCAAGGTCATGTGCCCATTGTCACATTCCTTCACTGTAAAGCAGATCATTTAGTCTGAGGTGGTATAGTGTGGGATCCCATGATGACAAACCAGAAAGACTGAGAACCTTCATAGAGTCATGCTAGCAGAGACACTAAAGACACGTAAGGAAACCCATACCTAGAGTTTAACATAATCCCAATAGCATGACTCAGCATGCCTTCCAGGATGGAAGAGTCCTAATGTAATCAACCTGCAACCAGGTAGCTGGTTTGTCTCCTAATAGGTGATTTCATATCCAGTCTTGGCTGCTGACAGTTCTGATGGTCAGCAATAATAGGAGCTAGATCAGCCTTGCAATGAATCCCATGTTCTTGGGCCCATGCATAGCCTCTGTCTCCACCTCCATTACTAACATTCCACAGCCTCATTCTGCAAGAATCAGGGTGACCAAGGAGAGGGCCTGCTCTGATTTCCACTGAACACATCTTCTTACTCCCTTGGTTGTTCTGTGCCTCCTGCACAGAGGATGCTGCTTTTTGGCATTGATGAGAAAACAAAGGTCCTCACACTCCCCTAGATACATCACACACCTCTTATTTGACATCTTGTCTCTGAGCTTCTAAGCCTCTGGTCAAACAGCTAAGTCATTCAGTGCTACTTATTAATCTGAGTGTGTCCTTACCTCAGACTTCTTCCTCCAAACAAAATTGGTTGCCAGGCATGCTATTCTAAGCTCTGCCCACTGGGAGAATTTCCCCTACCACTGTCTTTCAGAACTATCACTGAGCAGAGCTGTAATGCAGCAACGTAACAATTGTACCAACTCACTGAGCTGACCCACCCACGAACAAGGTCCAAGACTTTTTCTCCTTGATCAGCTGTTCATAGGGAAGCACCAATGAGGCCATAGTGCAGGCACTGATGCAAAAAAGACAGATGTACATAGATATGGACTATTTATTCTTATAACCTGTGTTTTCAGAGATACCCAGGTCACAAATGTAATATTTCTGTGGTATAATGGATTGCTGCTACACCTGTCTGAAAATACCCAAAATATGATGGAAGACTCCAGCCACTTGCTGTCACATGGTCAACTGTTCAGTCTCTACCAAGGCCTAGAAGCATGCCAAGAAATGCTGAATAATTCTGTGCTGCAGATGGCCTGGTCTTGCTCTAGAACCCTAGAATTCTTCCCTGCAAATTCTCCCAATGATGTTTGTCAAAGGCACCACAGAACATTCTGGTACACCAGAATAGAGCATCAGTTTTCCCCAGGCAACTGGATCATTAAAATTTCACTAATCTGAGAGGCCCCTGGATTTGTGAGATCTATTTCCCATTTTCTGATGTATGGGTATCCCAATAGGGCATCCAAAGTATTTGCCATCTGCTCCTCCAGATCTGAATAACATATCCCAAGAACAAAGCACTGGAAGATTTGGTGTCTGGTTAAGGTTCGTCCTTCATAGACAGCACATTCCCATTGCATCCTCATCTGGTGGAAGGCGCTAGCTAGCTTTCTGTGATCTCTTTCATAAGGGCACTAATCCCAGCCATGAGGACTCTGCCCTCGTGTCATAATCACCTCCCAAAGGCCCCATCTGCTAATATCATCACCTGGGGGGCTAGGATTTCAATATATGGATTTCAGGCGGGTACAAATATTCAGACAATAGCAATAGCATAGGTCTGGGACATGGCAAAGAATGTATCCTGCTGTCCATTACAGGTAAATGCAAACTGCTTTGGATCCTTCCTGTTGATAGGAATTGAGAAGCATGCATTTGCCAGATTGATAGCTACATATTAAGAGACAAGGCTGGGCTGATTTGTTCAAGTAAAGATACAATATATACACAACTATAATTGGGATCTACCACTTGATTAAATTCACAGCAGCCCATTGTCAGGCAGGTGACTTGGCCAGGGATAAGGTCACGACAACCATCCCTGCAAATCTCTGGGGTGGGGGTCGGGCAGTGGGGGATACTAATTTCTGCCATCCCATCAAAATGAGATTTTGTTTTTGACTTACTATCTTAGCTGGAGATGTGGAAATGCATGGGGGCCATCTTGGAGGCCTCCACTTGGTCTTCCCTATGGGTCAGTGAACCACAGTAAAAGAACCAATCTGAGGCTTCTGTCTACCAATATATCCATTTACATTATACACCCAAGGACCAGGGAAATGACCACAGGTGGGTCAGTAGACTCTGGACCAGCTATGACCTGGGCTTGGACTCTAATCAACAGACTGCCAAATGCTTCCAGTCTGATGGCCAGGGGAATGGACTTCCAAATGCTTCCAATCTGATAGATGGAAAGAATGGAATACTTATCTCCTAGTGTTGCAGATCTTTCTTCAGGGGAAGTACCTGAGAAAACCCTCATGTATAGGAACCATATTGGGGCATGATCTTGGAAACAACACCCATCAGGGAACGAGAAAGCAACCTGGGCAGGGGATGATGTTGAACCATGAAACAATTGTAAGAGAGGCCTCAGTTCCACAGGGAACTCTGAAACTGGGAGAGCCTTTCATAGACGTCACCGATTGAGGCCAGATGGTCTGGCCTTTGAAACATCACCTCTACCCATCATTAACTGTGGGCTTCACCTGGGTGGTGATCAGCCAGCAGCCAGCAGCAGCCAGCACCCCTGGCAGCCAGGAAAATTAGCCCTTCTGACCCAGAGGGAGGCATCTGGGTGACCCAGCACAGATTCCACAATAGTGCAGTCCTTGCACTGCTTATATTCACTTGACTTGTATGGTAAGTTTGCCCCCTCTGGGAATAGCTCCTTCAGGATTCTGAATATTAACAGAACAAACTATAGCCCCAGCTGCTGCAGGTGGCCTCAGGCCACAAGCGATATTCATTATTTCCTTCCTCTACCACCCATTCTAAATTTCCCTCACCCTAGACTAGCATGTCACTCTAGTGACTTGCCTGGTGGAGTGAGCCAGCACTTTCTTCTGAAGGGGTCTGAGTCCTAGTCACTACCCCTTCGCAGGCCATGGCCTCTTTCCACTGTCCTTATCCATTTACTATCAAAATTGGGCAAGGTCTGCCAAGTCGAGGCCCCAGAGCCCTTTCTCCTCTGGACCCACTCAAAGCTGGAAGCTTTCCACATCCTTCAGTCAATGGGTCAGAGCATTATGCCCAAGTGTGAATGATGCTTTCTTCACACACCCAAAAAGCCAATCAGGCATTGTGCTTCCTTTCTACTAGTGGAAGGTACAAGAAAAAATAATCATTCTTTAATTTAAAGGACTATCCCAGCATGCCTCGGACCACTGGACCGCTAATATTTCATTGCCAAGGTGCCCCTCTGAACGTTACTGGGTTTACCTTCTACCCTCTGGAGTGCATGTGTCTTATCCAGGCCCCCTACAAACTTGCCACTTCTTGCTCATCAGTTCAATTAACATAATTCCTCAGCATACTAGACCAATATAATGTTTTCTAGAACGTCCAGATAGTCTGGGTTCCATGGGATTATATTATGACAGAGGGCATGACTTAGCATAAAACCTAGAGAAAGACTGTAAATACATACTGTTGTTTGTCACACGTTAAGCCAAACTGCTTCTGGTATTCTTTCCTGAAAGAGTGAGAAGACAACACATTTGCTAAGTGAATTCCCACATACCATGAGCAAGAGGCCATGTTCATCTACTGTAGTAATGACACTACATCTAGCCCAGTAGCTGTAATTAGGGCTTCAACCTAGCTGAATTGTTGGAAGCCTACTCCTGGATCCATGTGGGATTGTAGGAGACAGGCAAGTAAGCAATATGTACTCATGTGTATGAGGGGGTAATCATTTGGGCAATCCTTAGATTTTTTTAAAATTAATTTATTTATGTATTTGTTTTGGAAACAGAGTCTCACTCTGCCACCCAGGGTGGAGTATAATATGATCATAGCTTGCTGCAGCCTTGAACTCCGGGGTTAAAGTGATCCTCTTGCCTCAGTCTCCTGAGTAGCTGGGACTACAGGCAACCTGCCACCATGCCCAGCTAATTTTTTAACTTTTTTTTGTAGTTCACTATGTTGCCTAGGCTGGATTCAAACTCCAGGTCTCAAATGATCCTCTCCAATGTTCTGGGATTACAGGTATGAGCCATGGTGCCCTGCCCTTAGATCTTTAAGAGCGGTACTATCTCTATCATCCAACCCTGGATACAATATTGATTGTTGGTTTACTATGTTTGGAGACAGAGTGAAGATTCAGAGGTTTCCTCTAGGTCTTGCTCTTGTCACCAAGTCTGGAGTGCAATGGTGCAATCTCGGCTCACTGCAACCTCTGATTCCCTGCAACCTCCACCTCTCAGGTTCAGGCAATTCTCCTGCCTCAACCTCTCAGGTACTAGGACTACAGGCACCCATCACCACACCCAGCTAATTTTTATATTTTTAGTAAAGACAAGGTTTCACCATGTTGCCCAGGCTGGTCTCAAACTCCTGACCTCAGGTGATCTCCCTGCCTTGGCCTCCCAAAGTGCAGGGATTGCAGGCATGAGCCACTGCACCCAACCTATATTAGCTTTTATAACATAGTTCTGGGCTCAAATGTGGGAATTCTTTAAACTACCAAGTATATCCAGTTCAAATATGTGTCTAGGAACCAGAGAAGTGACCACCAGGAGGGAGCTTGGATTTGATAAGAGAGCCATGAAACAAATCTGAGCCAGGTCTCCATTCATTATCCAGCCTCCATGAGACCGTTCTCACAAGGTGGCCACAACGATGCTTCAGTTGCAGGTACCGATGACTCAAGACTCAAAACCTATGTCCAGCAGTTCCTAAAACAGTGGGTTATTCCCCTTTCCATGGTGTAGGATTGTCCAAGTAAACGGCCAAAGGTCACTAGAGGAAGGAATGGGAGACTCATCATACATACTTGCTGTGGTGTGGCAGGGTTCTTCTTCCTGGGAGCCCAGCCTCTCCTTCAATAAGCTCTAGGCCTGAAAACTGGTTCAAATTAGGAAATAGGGCAAGGGATTATGCTATTTTATTGGGGCAGCTGCCTTCAGCCTCATGGTAATCTATCCTTGATTTCTTCAACTTGCTTCAATTAAACGATACCCTTGTTGGCAGCCCATCTCTCCTGCCCATGGGACACCGTGTTCCATTATTCATCTCCATGGCGTGTCATGCCCAAGAGGCAGCATTCAACTTCAATGCTCATTAAGAACGTTGTGCCATCTGGCCTCTGTTATTCAGGGTCTTATCCACATTACTTCCAAGAAGCCCAGTTATTTAACAGAATTGCCCACCATCAGCCTGGGGGGCAGCCCTCACAGGAGCACTTCCTGTCTCTTTGGTAAACATGGTGTCCTCTGGGGTTGGCTGGTGGGTTTTTCACCCTTGGGTAGCATATTAACTCTATCATGCCCACTTCTCTACATCTTTTTGTCTTAGACAGTGGAAGAAGTCCACTGTCTGCCACAGCAATTCTGACATTTCTACTTCACTTGCTTGGACCATCGCTTTTTCCAAGCGTCCACAAGCCATACTAGCCCCATGTCAGGGTGTTAAGCCCTGATCCCTGCAGAATGCTAACATATCAATAACTTTCCCTTTCCAAGTGTGTGTTCTGCCACCCTCAAACCATTTCTCAGAATCTAGTCCCACATAGACCTACTCAGCTCCTACCACTAAATTTGGAGGACCTGTGGCCCCTTCAGTGAGTGGCTTTCCTCCCTAAACAGAACCAATCCCTATGCAGCCAGTTAGCAGGACACTTGAACCCATTATGCATCTGACAGCCTAGAGAGGAGGTCAAAATAGATCCTGGGAGAAGTATATGTTGTATTGCAAGGCAGAGCCTTCTTCATTATGTTTAAGCAAGGAAGGTACTAGCCTTTATCAGGGTTGAGCGGGCTACTCCTACAGGCCCAGAAGGTTCAGGGAGATGTGGAAATTCACCATTCCCACAGGAGACATGCTTTTCTTTAGAATTTCCTTCCTTCCTTCCTTCCTTCCTTCCTTCCTTCCTTCCTTCCTTCCTTCCTTCCTTCCTTCCTTCCTTCTTTCCGTCCTCCCTCCCTCCCGCCCTCCCTCTCTCTCTCTCTCTCTCTCTCTCTCTTTCTCTCTCTCCTTTCTTTTCAAGAGGGAATCTCACTCTGTCCCCCAGAGTGCAGTGGCACAATCTGTTCACTGCAACCTCCACCTCCCAGGTTCATGTTACTCCTGCCTCAACCTCTCAAGTAGCTGAGATTACAGGCACATGCCACCATGCTCAGCTAATTTTTATATTTTAGTAGAGACGAGGTTTCACCACATTGCCAGGCTGGTCTGGAACTATTGACCTTAAGTGATCTGCCTGCCTCATCCTCTCAAAATGTTGGTATTACAGGTGTGAGCCACCATACTCAGCCTCTGTATTTCTGATAGATTGTGTTTCTCATGGAATTTGTCCAGTTCTTTTTAAGTTATCATGTTTGCTGCATAAAGAGTTTCATAACATTTCCCTTAATATCCTTTAATGTCTTTAGGATCTGAGATAATATTGTCTCTTTCATTCCTCATATTTCTAAATGTATATTTATTATCATTATGCAATGCCTCTCTTCATCTCTGATGATACTCCTTACCTTCAAGTCCACTGTAATTTTAATTTTATGCTTACCATTTTATGGTATATCTTTTTTCATCCTTTTACATTTGATTTCTGTGTCTTTATATTTAAAGTACATCTTTTCTATGTAGCATATAGCTGAACCTTGTTTTTCATATAGTCTGATGACATCTTTCCTTAACTGAAATGATTAGCTATTTACACTTAACACAGTCGTTGATAGGGTTGGTTTTGATTCCATCATCTTGCTATTTGTTTCCCCTTTTGCTGTCTGGTTTTTGTTCCTCTGATCTTTCTTTCCCATTTCATTGTAGGTTAATTGCCTATTTTTAGTATTTCATTTTAATTCCTCTATTGACTTTTAAGATCTACCTTTTAATTGCTCTAGAGATTATAATATTCATCCTTAACTTAGCTTAGTTTACTTTAGAGTTAAAATTTTACCGCTTCATGGAAATGTAAAAATTTACAACCTACAACTAGGAAGACACTCACCATGTCCCCCCATTCTTTGTGCTATTATTGTTACATGTTTTACTTCTAAGTGTTTTATAAACTGTATAATACAATATCCTTTTTTGTTTTAAACACTGAGTTGTCTTTTTTAAAAATTAAGAGAAGAAAAAATAGTCTTTATATTTACATATATAATTTCCATTTCAGGTTTTCTTCATGTCTTCCCATAAATCCAAATTCTTCTCTGGTTCCACTTTACTTCAGTCTGAAAACCTTACTATAACATTTCTTATTCAGGTCTCCTGGTGATGAATTTTCTCAGCTTTTATGTGAACTGTTTTTATTTCCCATCAGATTTTTAAAATATTGCGAGAGATCCAAGATGGCTGATCACTAGCAGCTCGGGATTGTAGCTCCCAGTGAAAGCACAGAGAATGAGAGGACGCCACACTTTCAGACAAATTTTTGTTGCTCACGAACCAGGAGATTCCCAGCAGAGGAGCCCCACAGGTTGCCAGCGCGACTCTTGTGGCTGGCATGGCAGTTTTGCTGGCATCTCAGCGCGGCGGTTCTTGGTGCAGAGTAAACGGGACTGGGTCCCCTTTTGGCCGACGTTTGGAGCTCTGGGAAGGCAGAGTCGCCTATTCAGCTGATTGAAGGATGGACTCAAGAAGGAAGCCAGACCGGAGATTCCCGGGCCGAAAAGCACCATGAATCTTAATGCTGCTGTTTTAGCCAGCGCAGTGCATTGCTCAGATTGTGGCACTGGGAATCAACAAATTGGATGTCCACTCAGACACCTAATTAGAAAGTCAGTAATTACAAAAATGACAGATAGGTAAATTTATAACCAAGGGAAGAAACCAGCCTAAAAAGACTGAGAATACCCAAAATCAGAACGCCTCTCCCTCTACAGGGGATCACAGTTCCTTATCAGCAATGGAACAAGGCCTGATGGAGAATGAGTGTGTTCCATTAACAGAAGTAGGCTTTAGAAGGTGGATGATAAGAAACTTCTGTGAGTTAAAAGAACTTGTTCTAACCCAATACAAAGAAACTAAGAACTTTGAAAAAAGGTTTGACAAAATGCTGATGAGAATGAACAATTTAGAGAGGAATATAAGTGAATTAATGGAGTTAAAAAACACAACACGAGAACTTCGTGAAGTATGCACAAGTTTTGGCAGCCGAATTGATCAAGCAGAGGAAATGATATCAGAGGTCGAAGACCAACTTAATGAAATCAAACAAGAAGACAAGATTAGAGAAAAAAGGATAAAAAGGAATGAGCAAAGTCTCCAAGAAATACGGGACTATGTGAAAAGACCTAATCTACGTTTGATAGGTGTACCTGAATGCGACAAAGAGAATGAATCCAAACTGGAAAATACTCTTCAGGATTTATTCAGGAAAACTTACCCAACCTAGCAAGGCAGGACAATATTCAACTCCAGGTAATACAGAGACACCACAAAGATATTCCTCAAGAAGAGCAACCTCAAGGCACATAATCATTAGATTCACCAGGGTTGAAATGAAGGAGAAAATACTAAGGGCAGCCA